TTGCTGAGGCTAGGACTTCCAACACTATGTTGAATAACAGTGGTGAGAGTGGACATCCTTGTCTTGTTCCTAACCTTAGGAGGAAAGCTCTCAATTTTTCTTCATTGAGGATGATACTTAGTGGTGGGTCTTTCATATATGGCCTTTCTGATTTTGAGGTATAATTCTTCTATCCCTACTTTCTTGAGGATTTTTATCAAGAAAGGATGCTGTATTTTGCCAAATGCTTTTTCTGCATCTATTGAGAGTATCATGTGGTTCTTCTCCTTTCTTTTTTTAATGTGATGTCTCACATTGATTTGTGGATACTGAACCAGCCCTGCATCCCAGGAATAAATCCCACTTGATTGTGGTGAATAATTCTTTTGATGCATTGTTGGATCCAGTTTGCTAGTATCTTGTTGAGAATTTTTGCATCCATGTTCATTAGGGAAATCGGTCTGTAGTTTTCCTTTTTAGTGGGGTCCTTGTTTAGTTTTGGAATCAATGTAATCCTGGCTGTGTGGAATGAGTTTGGAACTTTTCCTTCTATTTCTATTTTTTGGAACAGCTTCAAAATTTTTTAATGTTTTTATTTATTTTTGAGACAGGGAGAGACAGAGCATGATCAGGGAGGGACAGATAGAGGGAGACACAGAATCTGAAGCAGGCTCCAGGCTCTGAGCTGTCAGCACAGAGCCTGACGCGGGGCTCAAACTCACAGACTGTGAGATCATGACCTGAGCTGAAGTCAGACGCTTAATTGACTGAGCCACCCAGGCACCCCAATTTTTTGGAACAGCTTCAAAAGAATAGGTATTAACTCTTCTTTAAATGTTTGGTTGAATATCCCTGGAAAACCATCCATCCCTGGGCTCTTGACTGTTGGGAGATTTTTGATTAGTGACTCAATTTCTTTACTGGTTATGGATCTGTTCAAATTTTCCCTTTTGCCCTGTTTCAGTTTTGGTAGTTCATATGTTTCTAGGAGTTTGTCCATTCCTTCTAGATTGCCCAATTTGTTGGCATATAATTGCTCATTTTATTCTTTTATTATTATTTGTATTCTTTTTTTAATTCTACTTTTTAATTTCCTCTTCAATTTCTTGGTAGGATTCTTTAGTAGGATGTTCTTTAATATTCAAGCATTCATGGTCTTCCCAATTTTTTTTTTCTTGTGGTTGATTTCAAGTTTCATAGGGTTGTGATCTGAAAATATACAAGGTATGATCTCGATCTTTTTGTACCTGTTGAGGGCTGATTTGTGACTTAGTATGTGATCTCTTCAGGAGACTGTTCCATGTGCACTCAAGAAGAATGTGTATTCTGCTGCTTTTGGATGAAATGTTCTGAACATATCTGTTAAGTCCATCTAGTCCAGTATGTCATTCAAAGCCATTGTTTCCTTGTTGATTTTCTGCTTAGATGATTTGTCCATTGCTGTAAATAGGGTGTTGAAGTCCCCTACTATAATGGTATTAATATCAATGAGTTTCTTTATGTTTGTGATTAATCGATTTATATATTTGGTGTTCCACCTTAGGGGCATAAATATTTATAATTATTAGGTCTTCTTGGTGGATAGACTACTTAAATATGATATAATGCTCTTCTTCATCTCTTGTTACACTTTATTTTGAAATCTCGTTTGTCTGATATGACTACTTCAGCTTTCTTCTGATGACCATTAGCATGAGAAGTGGTTCTCCTTCCCCTTACTTTCAATCTACAAGTGTCTTTAAGTCTAAAATGAGTCTCTTGCAAGCAGCATATAGATAGGTCTTGTTTTCTTATCCATTCTGATACCCTATGTCTTTTGATTGGAGCATTTAGTCTCTTGACATTTAAATGAGTACTGAAAGATATTAATGCCATTGTATTGCCTGTTATATTGGCGTTTCTGGTGATATTCTCTGGTCCTTTCTAGTTTTTGTTGCTTTTCATCTTTTTTGTTTCGTTTTGTCTTTTCTCCACTCAAATGATACCCCTTAAAATTTCTTGCAGGGCAGGGCTGGTTTGTGGTCACAAACTCCTTTAGTTTTTGTTTGCCTGGGAAACTCTTTATCTCTATTTTGAATGACAGCCTTGCTGAATAAGGAATTCTTGGCTGCATATTTTTTTTGATTTAGCATATTGAATATATCTTGCCACTCCTTTCTGGCCTGCTAAGTTTCTATGGATAGGTCTGCTGTGAACCTGATCTGTCTTCCCTTATATGTTAAGGACTTTTTCCCTTGCTGCTTTCATAATTCTTTCCCTGTCTGTGTATTTTGTGAATTTGACTATGATATGCCTTGGTGGTGGTTGGTTTTTGTTGAATCCAATGGGAGTTCTCTGTGCTTCTTCAATTTTGATGTCTGTGTCCTTGCCCAGATTAGGAAATTTTTCTGGTATAATTTGCTCACATAAACCTTCTGCCACTTTTTCTCTTTCTTCATCTTCTGGAACTCCTATGATTCGGATGTTATTCCTTTTTAATAAGTCACTGAGTTCTCTAAGTCTTGAATCACGATGTTTTGTCTTTGTTTCCCTCTTTCTTTATTACTCTCCATAATTTTATCTTCTAAATCTTTGATTTGTTGCTCCTCATTGTCCATCCTTGCCATCGTGGTATTCATTTAAGATTTCATCTTGCTTATAGCATTTTTAATTTCATCCTGACTAGATTTTATTTCTTTTCTCTCTTCATTAAGGAATTCTATGCTGTTTTCAACCCCAGCTAGTATTCTTATTATTGTGGTTCTAAATTCTAGTTCAGACATTTTGCTTATGTCTGTATTGATTAAGTCCCTGGCTGTCATTTCTCTCTGTTCTTTCTTTTGGGATGAATTCCTTCATTTTGTCATTTTGGGGGAAGAAAAAAATAATAAAAATTAAAATTAAAAAAATAAAAACAAAACAAAATATCAAAAGAAGCTAGATCCTAGGTGTGTTTTTGTCTGCTTGTTGAAAGAAGCCTGATAGAAGAGAAAAAACGAGGGGGTGGGAGAAAAAATAATAATAAGATAAAATAAATAAAATTTTCTGTATCTCAGAATGAGGAAGGAAAGAAAAGAAAAAAGGGAATAGGAAAAAAGGAAAAAATTAAACAAAAGCAGAAGCAAATAAAATGAACAAATAAATGAACTTGTAAGCAGAATGAAACCCAAATGAAGTTATATGCAGCTTCCCCTAGAACTGAAACTATGGAGCCCTCTATAGTCCATACACTAAGCAGGTGGAGTAACTTGGGCTGGTCTTCTAGGGGATGCTAGGGGATATGCTTGGAGAGTGCAGTTGGGCGGGGCTTGGTGTAATGGCTGTGTTCTCCACTAGGTGGCGCTGCTTAGCTTACTAGGGTGGATCAGTATGGTGTGCATGCACGCACAGGAGAGGTGGAAGTGGCTTCACTCAGTTCCCTAGTCTCTGGCACAGGAGTTTCATGTTCTGACAGACCTGCGGTCAAACACCCCTACTTTGTCTCAGGATTCCATCCACTCCTTGTCTCTACCCTGTCCATGTCCAAGCTGTCCACCTGCCAAGCAGCACCTCCCTCCAGAGTTTTACCTCGAGTGGGATTGTGTTTTAAAGCCCCATGCGTCAGAGACCCCTGCAGCTTGGACCCACACCAACTCTCTGGGGGAGGGTCTCACTGAGCAATGGCCAGGTGCTGGCTTGCCCTAGAAAGCATTCATGTGATTGCACAGTGGCAGAGGTTCAGAGAATACGGTAAACCACAACAGACAGACAGCACCAGGGTTTGCTGCACGCTGGCATCTTTGTCCCAATACCAGCAAACATGGCTGCTCTTCAGGGGTCCTCTGGGACTTTTGCCTGTGGGGAGGCCATATGACTGCTACCAAATGCACTCCAATAAGGGGAACCACCACGGACCCCTCAAACCCTGCTGCCTCCTCCTGGGAATTTGCCCTACTTCCTCACCAGAGCACCACCAGGCACTGAGCTCCAAAACTTCATACTCTACGTTCCACTGTTTATAGAATCCTGGTGGATTGAAACCCTCTCCTTTCTCCCTGTCAATGATGTTGGGGAACAGATTTCTTGTTCAGTCTCCCCTGAAAGTGTTTTCACTCTTTCTGTCTCTTTCTCTCCCACTACATTCAGGGAGAGTGCTTTTCTTGCATGATCCCAAGGTGTCACGCTCCTCCCCTTTCCCTTTCTCTGTTCTCTTTCCACAAAAACAACTCCCTACCCTCTGCAGCTTTTCTCTCCTTGAGTTCACCTCTCTGCATTGTGTACCTGTTGTGTGGTTCAAGTTATGCAGATTGTTGTGTTAATCCTCAGCTCAATTTCCTAGGTGTTGAAAATGGCTTGATGCTGATCTAGCTGCATTTCAGGGACAAGACAAGCTCAGGGCTTCCATGTTCCTCCACCATCTTAACCACCTTTCACCAATACACACAGTTTTTATCTCATTTCTATTTTAGAAAACATAGTCTTAAAAATCACATCCAACTTATTGGCTTTAGTGTTATCTGACATGCTGTGTATTCTTCTGTTGGGCTCAGATATAGATTTTTCTCTTTTTAAATTGTTAATGCACATCTAGTAGAAGAAGAAAAAGAAACAAGATATTCCTTTGTTAAATGTTCATTGCAATATTCTTATTGCTTTAAAACTGTAAGGTTTATTCTCTCAGGAGAAACTGATTTCAGAAATAATTATCTTTGTATTGGAATCAAACAAATAATCCATTGTGGAACTGAAATCACATTGGAGGCCCAAGCTCATAACACCAAGTAATAAGTATATTTGCATTCTATGATCCTTGATTAGTGATATAATTTTAATATTCAGTGCTTCTAAAAACATGCATATTATACAGAGGTTATTTTGTAACACAATTTCTTTTTAGTTTGTAGTGAAATGTATTTTAAATTCTTAGAGAAAAAAAAGAAGGGGAGAAAGAGGACAGTTACATTTTTTAAATATGATCTTATAAGCTTATTTGCATAAGTTTAAATTTTGTTTCTTTGTGAATTCAGTAGAAAATATTACTGGAATTTTAAAGAAACAGCATAATCAATTCAGAATTTACATCTCCAACCCCAGTGAAGTAACCTACTTTTCCATAATTTTTTTTGGCTCTGTACGCTGAGGAGGCAACATCTACTGACAGTGACTGTATTGTTTGTTAGTTTCCACCGAGGTGCACAGTGAGTGAGTGGAGTCTGTCCAGTACTCCAGCAGGCATAGGATACAAGGAAGAGTTTGTGAAGGCTCACACTATCTGTAACAAAACGTGTGGCAGGTTAACGTACTTCCCAGCTCTTTATACCTTTGTTACACATAAATTACAGACAGACTGAATTGACTTCTGCTAAGAAACATGCTTCTCGGTAAGTAACATACCTTCTGAATGGTAGATTTGTTCTGAAGTGATAGAAAATATATATAGGGAGGTATACTTGGCTTTGGATGTAATTTTCCAGATTTGTACAGATTTCATATAGTGCTGGGCAATGCCATGATTGGTATTATTTGTCCTACTAGGATTTTAGTTGATGAGGTATGGCACCTTAGAGTGATCTTGGACATGTATGTATAAATTAAAGAGGGAGCATGACTAGCATAACTATACTTTTTTCCCTTCCATTAAGATGAGCACAACATTTTGGGGTTTAATTAGTAGTTGTTATAGACAACAGAGTCCATGTGATCTAAGTGTTAACATGACTTCTGGTTTAAAAATATGTTGCACTTCTATATGTTGTTAAAATGCTCTGATATGTCCTCTAGAAAGAGCTGGTTCTACATGATCATTTTATTGATATTTAACATATATGGGAATGCCTAGATTGTCAATTTTAACATTAGTATCAAGTAGGAGAACATTGAAAAAGTGAAGTGTTAAGCATATTTTTAGTAGTATTCACAATTATATCTTAAGTGTTATAAAATATTTTTAAATATAGCATTTGCATGCATTAGTCTTAATAGAAATCTGGCAAAACCTTTAATAGAGAATCTGACATAAGGAATCTTTCTCACTTTATAGAATATAATTAAATTAGAATTTCGTTGGAAGCTACATAAACATTTTTAAAATGCTTCATACATTAATAATGCTTCATTTATTGTCAAGTTAATATTGTGAAACACTGGTTGAATTTTATGCCATGGATTATTTATTTTAAAAACATTTTCTTACTAGAATGTGTCGGTAAGTGTACAATGCATTATGGAATTTTCCAGTTAATAAGGGCTAAACAAACATTTGAAATTTCTAGGAAATTAAGTGAAAACATCTTTTATTGCGATGGTTATACTTTGACCAGTTGTACACATTACTTCACATGTGAGAACAATTTTAGCCTTTACTGGAGTTATTCATTATGTCACTATTTAGGGATGTTTGATACCCATTTGGGACATAGTAAATATAACTAGGTTGGTAGTTTAAAAGATAAATTATATTTGTACTTCATTGTCAGGATGTTTGAATAATTTAAATATTAGTTAAGTCTCCACAGATTAAGCCTAAAATTGATGATGTATTTTAGAGGTCAGTTTTTGCTATAATTTCAAGCCTATTTATTATTCTACTTGGTAACAGTATACTGTTATGAAGAAAATACTGGACTAGGAATGAGGTGACACATTTGGTTCCTGGCTCCTCAACACTGCTCCTAACCTCTTCTATAAATCTATAAAATTATTTCGTAGAGTTTTACTTTATTTTTGCTATTCCACTTCTGCCCTCTTAGTTTTTATTATCCTTTCATGTTGGTGGAACTGTATACATGTATAAAATGAATTGGATGTTTTAAAAAGAGCCTTTATTTTATTTTATTTTATTTTATTTTATTTTATTTTAATTCCAGTATAGTAACATACAGTGTTATATTAGTTTCATGTGTACAACATAGTTATTCAGCATTTCCTTACATCACTCATCGCTCATCACAAGTACACTCCTTAATCTCCATCACCTATTTCACCCAACCCCCACCCACCTCCCCTGTGGTAACCATCAGTTTGTTTTCCATAGTTAAGAATCTGTTTCTTGGTTTGTCGCTCTCTCTCTTATTCCTTTGCTTGTTTGTTTTGTTTCTTAAATTCCACAGATGAGTGAAATCATGTGGTATTCGTCTTTCTCTGACTGACTTATTTTGCTTAGCATACTCTCTAGCTCCGTCCATGTCACTGCACATGGCCAGATTTCATTCTTTTCTATGACTGAACAATATTCCATTGTAAATACATACCATACGTTCTTTATCCATTCGTCTATCTATGGGCACTTGGGCTGCTTCCATAATTTAGTTACTGTAAGTAATGCTACAATAAACATAAGGGTGCATGTATCCCTTTGAATTAGTGTTTTTGTATTTTTTGGATAAATACCCAGTCATGTAATTAAAATCATGGAGTAGTTCTATTTTTAACTTTTTGCAGAAACTTCACACTGTTTTCCACAGTGGCTGCACCAGTTTGCATTACCACCAACAGTACAAGAGAGTTCCTTTTTCTCTGCATTCTCACCAACATATGTTATTCTTGTATTTTTTATTTTAGAAGGGCCATTCTTTTATACGGGGGCTCCCTTCATATTATAAGGTTCAATGCTATTGATGGGGAATGAGTGATGGAAATAATTTACTATAGTTGACCTGGCTTCTGGAAAGTGTACCTAGGCTTGTGTGAGTAGCCACCATTTTATTTAACATTTACCAAGGTCCTGATACATATGCATATTTTTCATAAGCTTCAAAGTCAGAAAATCCTTACCAATACACATCTTGAAGGTATTTATTTTTTTTAATCCTTCAATTTAAATTATCTAAACAGTAGCTTCTTATATGTAAAATCTCAAAAGATGTTACACACCGTATCCATTCCTTCTCCATTTACCCAAGATTTCTCCATCTGACTGGAAAGTAAAAGTTTACAGACTTGAGCCTTTTCTGTCATTTCACTGAGATAATTTCACTATGGCTGAGGTGGCAAAGCATGAGCTTCAGATGACAGGAGTTTGAATTCCTCTACTCTGCCTCTACTTCTGAAAGGTTTCAGGAAAATTGCCCATCCTTTCTAAATTCATTTCCTCTATACAAGTGGATACCAATGTTCATCTCATAGGATTGCTATAAGGATTGAGTAGGTGATATTTATAAATGTAAACTGTGGTGCTTGAGCCTTTAAATTGGTGACCAGTAAATGGTAGACAATTACTGTTGTTGTCTTATGAAATTATCAATTCTTGATTTCTATTAGAATTTACCCTTCTCTCTAGGATTGCTGCAACTATATGGGTTTTATGAAGTTATTCACTCCAGTGTTCCAATAAGATGACTGAATTATTTTCCTGTGTGAATTTTGAGTCAACTAGAGCTAACTCTAAATTATAGTCATGAGCTATAATTACTTCAATGGTTAAGACCATTTTGGCCTCTGGGAGTGAAAAGTTGTATTTTATAGTGCATGTGAAAGAAGTATTTGTGAATTCAACTCTGTCTTCTATTCATACCTGGGTTAAAATGAGCCACGGTGTCAAGCTGTTTCTTTGGAACATTACATAAACTTACTTGTTCTTGGCCACATAGCAATTGGGAATATACAAACAGACCTGAAAGGAACCAAACAGCAAATCTTCACAGGCAGGAAACCCAGTATTTACACATTAATCAATAGGGTGATGGTCACTAAGGTGGCTTGTGACTAAGATTTCTTGTTCATCATGAATGGGAGCTGGCATTTTCAAATGCTTACTTCATGTTAATGTGTTCAACGGGACTAGACTGAAGCACAATTGTGCCACAGGCATTCCGACCCAGAGCCTCTCTGTTCTCCTTCATCTGCTCCAGTAGGGAGTGCTCTCACATTCTTCTCATTTTCCCCCATCAAACTGGTTTTTCCATCTTCTATTCACACTAAAATGTACATGGGTTTTGGTGCTTCACCAATATTTTCTATGTATTCATATTTTAACATACAGAAAAACTTTAAGCTAAAAGTCTAAGATCCTAACTCCGTGCAATTTGAAGTAATAGCCAGTGGGTTGGAAGGTTTTGGAGCAACAAAGAAAAACAGATACATCTTTTAGATTATACATCCTCATTACCCTCCAAGGGGCAAAAATGCATGCTAGGGGAAAAAAAAATCTTAACTCTTCTTATGTATAAAGCACAGATCTACATATAGTCTGTATGTACAGATATACATATAGTATGTGGTATATCTGTGGTATTAAATTTTTGTGGGTAGGGTGATTAAGAAAAAAAGTGTCAAGAAGACCCCTTGGGGGGTGGGGGAAGATGATGAAAAAAGTTGAGAAATGCTGCTGTAGATGAGAATTTTAAAGGACTCGGTTAAGCCTGTTGAGTACGAATTCTACTGAATTTGTGCTAAATATTTTCAGTATGAAGTAACATACTTCCAACTTAATACTTACACTGAAAAACAGTATTTATGTTCTAATAAGTCAAATATGCTCACTTGTTGTACCTTTTACTCTTTAATTATAAGAGTAAATAAAGGAGAAAGACTTAAGAACGAGAGGTACTTAAATTTGAATTCCACCTCCTCTCTTATTTGTTTTGTCACCCTTGGCAGATCACTTAACCTCTTTAGGCCTCATTCTTTTTGTCTTTAGTTTACCTGGGGATCATTGTGTCCACATTTCTATAACGTCAACGTTGTGTATCATAAGTATTAATCAAAATAATGTACATAAAACCTTCTACACCTTGCCTAGTACATTATAAGTGGATGCCAATTACTAGCTATAATTCTTTGTGTTGTACCTTTCTGTCAGTTACTTTCTTAAAATTATCATAGAAAAAAATTTAAATTTGGGAGATAAAAGTATTGTTACCCATAAAATACAGAAGTTTCTCTAGGAAATATGTTAATATTGTCCATAAAGAGAAAGATAAATTTCAGGTTTCCTTTAAGCCAGTAACCATACTTATTGACATAAATCAAAACCAGATGAAATCTACGGGGCATCTGGCTGGCTCAGTCAGAAGAGCATGCAACTTTTGATCTCCGGGTGAGCCCCACATTGGGTGTAGAGATTACCAAAAATGAATAAACTTAAGTTAAAAAGACAGATAAAATCTAAATGAAACTCTTTTTGGTCAGAGGCAGTCCTCTGCTAAATTAAACTTTTAACATATCTAGTTGCTGATGTAGCCTGTTAATGTAGAATGATTCATTTTTCTGGCAGTTTTGTTGAAATATGTTTTATTTAAATTCTATTCAGCTGTGAAGTCATTATTTTATTTCCCCTAGTACCATGAGAACTCAGTATCCTTTGGAATTGATGTCTGTTTATGACATCACTTTTGCCAGTAATGTCATCATTTCCTGTCTCTGTATAGATAATATTTGCTTTTAGGTATTCACCAACATGTATGGATTTGTAGGCTAGAAAAGTTAATTGAAAGGAAGTAGTGTGAATCAGCTGGTATTTCAAATTTGAAAATTCAAGTGAAGTGGAGTGAAATTCAGTATCGATACAACTCTTGAGGATTCATGTGAAATTGGGTGAATTTTAATATCGATACAACTTTGGGGAAGATTATATTTGGTTTTTTTTTTTTTGAAAGAAGTGCCCATAATTCTGTCTCTCCCCACCCCTTCACAAGTGATTGCTCTGCTTTTGTGATAAATATTAAAACTCTAAACTACTGAATATTCCCTGGTTATTGATTTTTTTTAACTTTGTAAGATTAAATACTCTACAGATGAAAATCCAATGGAGAAGGAAGAGTGCTTTCATTGTAAGGATTGTGATGTGGCAAAACAGAATAAATGAGCAACTCTGAAATGCATGACATCCCTCCTTGCCTTTTCAGCTTATCTTCTTTTTAGGTACTTTATCTTATCAACATTGCTTCCCTTTTTCTGTGATAGAAGTCCTTTAATAACAAATAACCATGGAGTAGTGTTCTCCATCCCAGAGTTTGGCTTTGAGAGCAGAAAATAGGAGTTTGAGGAGCAGAATTAAGAGAATGCTATGGATAGACAACATGCTTATCCAGCAGAAATGGCCCACAAGTAGTGGAATTCAGAAAGCAACAAGGATCCAATTGTTTAATACTCTTCCTAGCTCTCCAGGGAGCTGAGAGAGCAGAATTTCACAAGGTAGACAGATGTCACATTTCAAAAGCATATTAGAAATAAAAGAACCTTATTTGAAATAAAATATATTGGCTCAGATTCTGTCTCTATATGCTTCAAAAATCATACTCCAAAAGGATTTGGGGGAGAATTTTTGACTTCATAAAGTCATTGGGCTGCAAAGTTGGATTAAGAATAAGAATACATATCTACTAAATGACACCCTGGAAGTTCTGGTGTATACTAGATATTCTCTCACCCATACAGAATCATCTCATGTCTACTTGCTGCCATTTCACTGGAAGAATCTGAAAGTTTTCAAGATATTAGGAGACAAATGTTTCAGCAGAAATGGTGAGATTTGTAAGATAGCCCCTTTCAGGACTGACCAGTGAAACCTTTTCCCCAAATCTGGAAATCTAAAAGTGTCACCCCCTAGAGGTTAGAATAACCTTCACAGACTTGGAACTACAGCATGATGAGAAATTAATATGGTACTTTTCATCATCCCTATTTCACTTAAGACGGACAAAGTGACCTAACCAAAACACATCATCTAGGAAAATTGGAATTAGAACCCAGTTCACTACTTCTTTCTATTCATTCACTGTGCTTCTTTCTCTTTCAGGTAGGTAGACAAGAGACCTGGCCCAGGTGACAGGCCACTATATATGTGGCACACTTGTATATATGTGTGCTGGAAGGTCATGCAATGCCCCTTACTCCATCCCTTAATTCTGTATGCATCTCTCAGTCACCAAATACAAGATTTTCCTCTGTAGTATACTTGAAAATTCGTGGAGCCAGACCAATGACTTTTTTCTGTTAAAATTGTTTTTGCCTCCTCTCACCCATGTGCATTTCTCTGTTTCTTTCTACAAAAATATTTCAAAATAATTCAGAGAAGCATCTCCAATTATTTTTCATCCCTTTAGAAAGATTAAAGTGTCCTTGACTGATGTGGGCCAGTCACTAGCCAGTCTGTACTTGTTCACCAGCCTGGGTATTACTGAAACAAGAGCATGTTGCTGCTGCTGGTCACATATTATCCTTGGCTTTTCCTTCTTTACCACTTTCTTGAGGCTTGTAGGTCACTTTCCTGTGGATGGAAGAAATAGAGATGGATTGGTTTGATAATTGACCTGTGTCTGATATATTGGTTTTAAGTCTCATACAAAGTAAGAAGGACCTGACTATTCTATGGTGGGTCAAACAGTTTGATTGAAAGCATAATCAGCTGGGTTTTTCAAAGAGAGTATAATGAGGGATGTTTGCCGTGGTATGGTAAGTTTGAAGGGAGTCACCAATAGATGTCATCGTTCCTACTGACCCACCACAAACTCTTTCATTCCTGAAGAAGAAAGGAGAGGGAGTTAATGGAGGTGTCTAAATTTGGTGAGAGCTGAAATTGGAGGCTGTAAAGGATAGTACTCAACAAAAGCTGTTATCATAGGCAAGATGTCACTGCCAAATGCAGACGAGGAGGAAGACTGAAAGGAATATTCCAACTTCTCCCTTCTTCCCATACAGAATGGGCAAAGAATCTGGGATGAGCAAGGATCTGGGAGCAAACAGAGAACAACCAGCACACATGGTCTCCTGAACTTATTTCAAAACATCTTTCCCATCCAGGATTTAATTTGAACAATAACTGATGGAAGTGTTCCTTTAATGCATCATATTCCTCTGTGTTTTTTTTTTAATGTTCTAGACATTTTAAAATTTTAACTCAGAATCCTTAATGCAAATGTTAATTGTTGAACTATGTAGTGGTAATCCACAGAGTCTAGTGAGGGGTTGGGATCTGTTTGCTTCTAAAAGAAATGGTTCCAACTTGGGGTGCCTGGGTGTCTCAGTCAGTTAAGTGTCTGCCCCTTGATTTCAGCTCAGGTCATGACATGATCTCACTGTTCACGAGTTTGAGCCCTGTGTTGGGCTCTACATTGATAACACGGAGCCTGCTTGTGATTCTCTGCCTCTCTCTCTCTCTCTTTCTCTCAAAAATTAGTAAATAAAAATTTACTTAAAAAAAAAAAGAATGGTTCCAACTTGCCATACTTCTGCATTTTTGACCATGCGTTTTTATGGTCTGCTGGTATTCTGTGACATTGACTGGCAGGTGTCTCAGCTGTACATGTCTGTAGCAACTCTAGCACCTAGTTCTGAATTCAACTATTTTCATTTCTCTGTTCATTTAGAAAAGGCATAACCATCACTGTAGTCATTTGCCCAACACATTTATATTGATCATCTATTCTGCGCAGTAAAGGCCCTGAGAAAACTGAGGTAAGCAAAGAGAAAATCCTCCTGCCCTTAAGGAGTTTATGTCTTAAGTTTTTTCTAAGCTAGACTTTGAGACCTCAAGGACTCTCTTAAGGATCTTTAATCTTCTGATGCTTTTCTGAGAGGTGGGGGTGGGGGTGGGCAGAGGCACATTTTCTGGACCTTAGCTGAATTCTGAACAGTCAAGATTACTAAATAAATATATGAGGTATTCATGTTACTCTATTTAGTATCATTGTTGTCAGCCACTCAAAAAATTGTTTCTGAGTATTTATTATATGCTTGTATGTGTAGCGATTGAGAAATTAATAAAATATGCTAGTGTTTGGGGTACTGTTCATCTAGTTGGGAAGCAGATATGCAAATTACAAAGGCTGAGTGTCAGAGTCTATAGGTCCAGCAAATGATTCCATTGTTAGGATGAGAGTGACTATGAGAGTTACAGTAATAACCATAACGCCCAATTTCCTGGCTGCTCAGGCAAGCAGTTTAAAGCCTCACTGTTAGTAATGTGTTGCTTTTATTTAATAGAAGTTCCACAAGTACTTACTTGTAAAAGTAGTGTTTCCCAGAATCCTACTGGCAGACTGTTCAAGTCTCTGAAACACACATGAAACAGTTCCAAGCTCAATGTTAATACTAGGGATAAACCACATGATTCTCAATTAGGGGATTCAGTAGAAATTATGGTTTTAAAGATCATTGAACATGTACCTTATACTAGTAGTATAGACCTGGACTCTGGAAAAATGCTCACTGAAACTATGAAAACTGAAACCACATAATCATGAAAAAGTTGTCCTAATAGTGGTAGGCATTATTTATGTATCTGAGCAGTTGCAACTACAGACTCTACTACTACCTATAAAGTCATAGCCGTTGTTATATATCCAAAGCTATGAGAAATGCTTGGTCTAAGCCAGAGTTGGGTAATCACCTGATATGCTGAAAGGAAGCTCAACAATCCTAGTTTTTGTCTAACTAAGACTAAAACTTATCTCTGATAGTACATTTTTGGCATGCCTAATGAAGCTCTGTCTTTCTAAACAATAGGAAGAAACACTCCTATGGAATGTATTTTTTATTTCTTCCTGACTCTTTTTTTCCTTATTTTTTCTTTTTTTTAAGTTTCGTTAATTTATTTTATGAGAGAGAGAGAAAAAAAAGCATGAGTTGGGAAGAGGCAGAGAGAGAGAGAGAGAAAGAGAGAAAGAGAATCCCAAGCAGACTCCACACTGTCAGTGCAGAGCCTGATGTGGGGCTTGAACCCACAAACCATGAGATCATGACCTGAGCTGAAGTTGGACACTTAACTGACTGAGCCACCCAGGTGCTCCTCCCTTATTTTTTTTCTACAAAGAGGTGTCCCTGATAAAGAAAAGGGAAACTAATATTAGCCACTTTCCCTGAGGACAATAATCTTCTTTAAGTTTTCCACAATATCCACAGTGATTGGGTTCACACCTTAGCTGCTACTTTAACACCAATCCATACACGTGTTATGATGCTATAGGTTTACCACCAAGGACCTAGGAAGCCTTTACAGAGCAACATTGACATCCTTTACCAAGTTATACATCATATTTGGAGTTCTCACAAAAAACTTAGTCTCAGAGACTGTCTTATTGGAGTTTTGCTCATTCATTCATTATAGTAAAAGAGATTGAGTGGCTTATGTACTGTATAATATAGTATGTCCATGAGGCTGGAAAAAATATAAACTTATTTTTATACTGTGTGTTAGCTATATTTTATAATATTTTGTTTGGTGTACTTTTCTTCAGCCTCCAGACACATTTTAGGTGAAGTACTTCTAAATGCAAAGCAATATGTCCAATTATTAATCTAAAAAAGTACAACACATATCTTATTTTACCCATGTTTCTAGACTTTTTGGACACTGTTAGTATATATGTTTAGTAACTGCATTTTTTTCCAGATTAACCACTAAATACATTGCTTTACATTTAGAAATTTTTTTTATCTGAAAACACATTCTGGAACATACTGTTTCAAAATATAATTTACATATTGTTTAAAAATAAGTTTATCCCTACAAATGCCAAATAATCATATTGTACACCTGAAACTTATATAATGTTACGTGTCAATTATATCTCAAAAAAAATAGCTTACTCTATGTTAGTTACCTAACTTTACAGACAACGTGTTTAATTTGACCCTTTTTTTAAAAGTCACTTTAAAAAAAAAAGTTTATTTATTTTCTGAGAGAGAGAGAGAGAGAATGAGAGAGAGGGAAAGAGAGAATGAGAGAGAGAGAAAGAGAGAGACAGAGAATCCCAAGCAGGTTCCACACTGTCAGCCCAGAGCCTGACATGGGGCTTGAACTCATAAACCCTGAGATCATGACCTGAGCCAAAATTGAGTCAGATGCTTAACCAACTAAGCCACCCAGGCGCCCCTTAATTTGACCTTTTTGCCAGATTTTCTTCAAATGGTAAAAAAAAAATCTTGGGAGAAAACACGCATCCTGAAGATATTAAAGTGAGAATTATTTAAGCAAGTCAATGTGTTTTTCCTATATTATGTAGTTAAATTAACGTATGTCTTTGTGTTTTCATCCTTGAGTAATGTCAGTGACAAAGGGGAATCAACAATTGGCATTATTTCCAAATGTTTGCCATTTTGATACTGATAACTATTATGCTGCTTTTTGCCTTAATCAATTTTTCCCTTGTATCAGGGTATGACTGTATCAATTGTCTAGTAGATTTAATGCCGCTTAGCTGTCTAATAAGACAGGGAAATGTTTAGCTATCAGTCAGCCAGGTCTTATGCTGTGACACATGGATTCAAAGAAAATTCATAATGTTACGTAGATAACCACAAAAGACTTTTGTGTCTTGGTTTCTCACCTCCCTACCTTATTGATTTGCTTTTTTCTACTTCTGATAAAGACAGTGAATTATCCATTGTGTATGGAATAAATGTGAGTTACTGATACAGCCAAATGACTGAAAAAGGCAAAGTGCTGCTTTCAAAATGACAGTTCGTTATAGGATTCCTTTTTCAACAATAATCCCACAGCCTGTGCACCAAGCCCAAGCATGAAGGATATCATGTTACCCTTTCAGCACTTACCAATATATTTATTACTTGGGCTTTTATTTATCTTCAAGCATCCCTTATCTTGAATAACGTATGGCACCTTCTCTCACCAATGCTCATTTTTTGTGTTCATCCCTGAATATAGAAACCCTATTTATCAAGCAAAAGTTTTCCATAGACCAATGTTCTAAACATGGATATCACATGGGAATCACAATTTATTTCTCTCTTTCATACTTTAAACATCCTCCCTTCTTCAAAAACATATTACTTAACATACAATCTTTCCAAGTGAAATCTCTCACTCTGCTTTTGTGGTCTTCTAGAATATTCAGAGAAGAACTTTGTTACATTGAGTATAGACAACATATTACAGACATGACAAGACTCACAGGTCTTCTATGCCTCAAAAAGAAAACAATGATGAAATCATATAGCTGTGAAATGGTTATGTATATGAATTACTGGCTCATGCATTTATTCAATAATATGTAATTATTGCCTCCTTTGTACCAGGCTCTGTGCTAAGCACTGGGTCTCCAGGGATGATGTTTCTTTTCTCCTAGCCTGGAAAAGTGGAGAGGAAGGATACTTGTATTGGGAGATGCAAATAGATATCATGATTGGAATTATGTTTTAAAATTTTACTTTGTACTGATTTTATTTTATTAAGCTTAACTTAAAAATGTTTAAACTAAAATATAACATGGGAAAACTTAAGAATATAGAAAGATATGTACTTAAAAGTAAAATTTTTCTTTCCTCTCCCCCAAGTCCTTAATCCTCTTTCCTCCAAACAAACTTTGCTAACAGATTTTATGCTTTGTTGCAGAGTAAAACAAAACAAAAAACTAAAACAAAACACACATAGACACACAAACACACGTACATATATATGTTTGCAGGCACACAAATAGTAGCATATGGTATATTCTGTACTTTCATATTTTCACTTAGTATTTTATCTGGTGTATCTTGTTTATCTGGTATACCTTTCCATAGAAGGACTAAAATTTTTGATAAAATCAAATGTTAGGAAAGATGTAATATTATATCAAGAACATTTATTTTTCTGAGTGAGTTTCCTATTACCTAAGAATATCTTAGTATTTATTTTTTATAAACAAGTCAGTAAACTAGAATACAATCAATATAGTTGGGCAATTAACATAGATGAATTCCTACCTCTTCTCTTTGGACATCATTCAGGTTTTAACAGTTGTCTTAATAGTTAAGAGATCTATTTATAGTAAAGCAATCTGTTTCAAAATCTCTCATTTCATTTAGTTACTATGTCTGGTTAGTTTCCTGTAGTTGGAATAGTTTGCCAGTGGTTTCTCTCTCTCTGTTTTTTTTTTTTTTAATTTTCATGATCTTGACTCTTGAAAATTAGTAGGCCAATTTGGATTTATTTCATGTTTCCTCCTGATTAACCTTAGGTTATAAATTGTGGACAGGAATTATATGAAATCGATGCTACATTCCTCTGATTGAATCCTGCAAGGTCTCAGGTGATTTTAATTTCTCTTATTAGTGATGATGTTCACTTTGATTACTTTATAAAGTTGGTGTTTTCTGAGCTTTTCAACCATAGAGTTACTCTTTTATTTCCCCTTACAACTAGTAAGCATTTTGTCGGGAGTTACTTTGAAACCATGAAAATATCCTATTCCTCATTAGTTTCTCCACTAGTTTATTTCTATCTGCATAGATCATAGTTTTCCATTTTATACATTTTATTTTTTTCAATTTTTAAAAAAGTTTTATTTATTTATTTTAAGAGAGACAGAGAGAGAGCAAGAGCAGGGGAGGGGCAGAGAGAAGGAGAGAGAGAATCCCAAGCAGGTTCCATGCTGTCAGTACAGACCCTGATGCAGGGCTCAAACCACAAACCATGAGATCATGACCTGATCTGAACTTAAGAGTCAGACACTTAACAGACTGAGCTACACGTGCTCCTCCTATTTTGTTTATTGAGTTATAATGCTGTTAGCACTTGTTTGGCTTTTTTATGTAGGTAGTCCTTAACTTATGAGATTTATGCACATACTCTGTAGACGTAAACATCCTGTTCTGTTTTCCCCCATCCCTGGGATCTTCTCAGCCACATACCTACTCTTTTTTGTCTTTGGTATAGCTGCTATTGAAGGAAACCTTACTTCAGTACCACAGCCATAAAGCAGGAGATTATGGCTTTCTGATCACCTCTTGATGATTTGGAGCTTAGTGATCTGTAAGTCTTAAGACTTAGCTGTATGGTATGCAGGTCAGGAGCCAGGGGGCTCTAGACAGGTCTGAGCAGCTCCAGGCTAGAAGCTTCAGGTTGGACATGGCTTGGCTTGGCTTTAAGATTAAAGGGGCTTTAGGGACCTGTATAGAAATTTCTACAAAGAAGATATACAAAAGGACAACAGGTACATGAAAAGATGCTCAACATCACTAGTCATTAGGGAAATATAAGTTAAAACCATAATGATATGTCACTTCAAACTTTTTTAATTGGCCGTCATCAAAAAGACAAGAGACAAAT